GGGGGGGAGGGGGATTATGTTGGCTGGGGTGAGACTGAAAACTGAAAATTCCAGGGATGTACCAACCCAAAGCACTGCCAAATCTTCCAGCTTAAACAACATTATCAGTATTTGATCTCTTTCAGATCACCTATTTTTAGTAACTACAAATTTAGAGAAAAGAGCAGAAATTCCCACTAGGTCTAACAAATTCTGAATTCAGCCTGACCACCCAGCCTTTGTGACTTACTTGCCTGTTCTTGAACAAATTATGGTCAGGGTTTTTTTTTTCCTCATCATGCTGGCCTATGTCCTATTCCTAACCCTACAAGCTTCAGGTCTGCATCCTCCACAAACATCTAAATATTGTGAAATTCAGCAGAAGTACAGCCTCAGTTTGCAGATATTTTATGGCACTAAAAACCATTCCTTGCCCTTTGTTTCCTCCAAGGATACTTTTCCCAAAGTTGTCACACCGTGATGGCTCAGTATGGCCCTGTAAATATATAGCAGAACATTTTATTACATTGAAGAAAGTTAACATTTGATATTCATGCTGAAATTTAGGGCCAATACCGCCAAACTGGTTAAATTGTTTTTTATACCCTCACTTAATGGCTCATGTAGACAATTGGTGCCTAAACTAGAGCATTTTTATTATTAACTTTGAAGGATTTTTCATTACTGCTACTGGTACTGACTTTCTTTAAATATCTAGCCTACCTTTTTGTCCTTGATATCAGGGCCTAAAGCTAGCCAGATGCCTGTTTAGGCAAATACAGTTTTATGGAACACAGACACACATCCCTTAGTTTTAGCCTTGTCTGTGTGTGGCTCCTTTCCAGCTGTAACAGCACAGGTGAGTAGCTGTGAAAGAGAATGTATGGCCCGCAAACTTAAAATAGTAATTATTGGGCCATATAGAATAAATTGTTGGCTCCCGCTGTGTTCTGTATTTGCTTTGTCACAGTCTTCCTACTTCTTGACATATGGCATACTTAGGAAGAAGAAATAGGTAATTTCTTTATAATTCCACTCTCTAGTGTTCCAAAAAGTGTTTAAAGGAAAGTATTTTCCTTACCTGTTCTACCTTACAATTGTTTGAACAATTTCCCTCTTTTTTCTGTACCTGTGATGAGTATTTTGATCTTTTCATCTTTTAAAGCAATCAGCCCTTCGTAATTTCTCAGAGACAGGAATCGGCTTTCCCTAATCCATTGAACACATTCGCCCGTGTGCCGATGTGACCTTAATGGAGAGGCATTGAGTGCCAGACACCTGCACAAAAATCAAGGCTTGTGTCCCTTCCCCTCTGGATTCCTCTCAGTGTCACATTTGTCATGGTCAGAGCATTGTTAATTTATGAAGAAGTGTTCGGTGAGATTCAGGAGGTTGCTGAAGGGAAGTGGGGGAAGCAGGTTTCCCCTAATTTGTCACTGGATTCTGTGAGTAGATTGGCCGATTTCATTGGAAGGCTGTGGGGTTAAACTGAACTTGAAGAACAAGGATAACACCCCTTTCCTGCTTTTCTGCAGCCTAAATGCCCTGTAGAGTGAGAGAAAACTTTAGTCTCTAGGCTCGTGCATCCCTTATCTTTCCCAAATGTTAAATTAATTTTTAAAGCTTTTTATTCCAAGTTGACTGAACCACTAGAATAGGAAAGATCAGACAAATCAGCTGCAAGAAATGAAGTATGAGGAAACCCGATCTCTTTGACAAAGTATTCCTGGGAGTAAATGTGTTGAATGAAACCAGTGAGTAAATGATAAGACCCTTTACACTGTGGATACAAGAAAGCAATTTATCAAGAGTACATGAACTCTCTAGTGACCACAAGACAGGAGGAAATGAGAGTGGAGGAGAAGCCCTGAAAAAATGCATTGAAAGTACTAAAAATCCTGTGCGTGTGCTTTTTGAATCCCTTAATTATTATGCAGAAATACTAGTATGTTGAAGTAGAAGCTGCTCAGATTGCACATAGGTTGTAGCCCATGCTGTTAAGGGGAACCCTTGAGAGAGGCCAGGCAGTGGCTTAGAATTTGCAAGAACTTTGGGTACTCTCAAATGTGGTTATGATTCGAGCCAGGATGTTTTCTGATACTCATTTGTTTGACTCAGATAGACGAACATCTTTCAGGTTTAGATGTTTATCCTTTTTTTAATTTTGGAAAGAGCTTATGTGTAGAATTGTGGGTTAACGGAAATGCCTTTTGTGTTCTCAAGGAGTTCTAGATGCCTCTCATCATCTCCTCAATCTGGGCAGCTTCTCTTTAAGTCCTTAGCTGAGACAATATAAACTTATTAATTTATGTTGGAGAAACTGAGGCAAAACGAACAGTAAGGTTCCCAGTAACTCACATATGGATGGGAACTAGAATTTATGACCTCACCTTAAGGCATTTAATTCCAGGGGAGATACTGCTTCTCAGGGTTGACGAGAAAGAGATCCCAGTTGTTGGAATAGTTTCCTTTAAAGTCTTTAAGAATGGCTATCCTGTTTTCTCCACTGGGATAATTCATAGATTTTGATGTTAGTCATTTGTTTTCCTTTTCTTCTTACAGCCTTGTCAGAGTTGTTAACAAAGTGACTAATTATAACTTGAATTTATTTTTCCCCCTAGATAACTTTTAGAGAATATGCCAGTGAAGACAAAACTATGTAACACGTGAACATGGGAGAAATTGGGAGAACTAAGCTTTCGAATGATTCCTTTGGGCTAATTTGAGTTACATTTCTAGCCCTCTCAATACAGGTTGTTTCCCTGCTCCCTCCAAGTTAGGCCCTTTACTCGTGCAATCTAAGAATGCTCAAGTATTTTAACAGGTGAATTGTATTTGAAAAATAAGATTATTTGATACTGGTTGAACCTCTTCTTGCCTGAGTTAGAAACTGCAAGGGTTTTTGTCATTGTTGTTGTTTGCTTTTTAATTCTATTTATTTATTTATTTATTTATTTATGATGAGAAGACCAAGGGACATCTCGGTAGTATGACTTGAGTGGTAGTAATTCAATTAGCAAATTGTTTAGTCAAATTTTTAAAGCCAGCCCTAGTCATTTAAAAACCCTTTTACTCTCTTTCTGAAAGTTGTGTGTGTTTTGTGTTTGCTGTTGCCTACAATTTGTAAACCCTATACAGAGAGAAAGAGAGAGGAGAGGGAACAGAACTAAAGAAAGAAGAAAGAAAGAGGAAAAGGATCTTACTTAAACGTCGGTGGCTTTGATGTGTCTGTAGAAATGGAGCCCTGGTCGTGTCCAGTAAAAGTTCCAGTTTCTCTGATTCTGTCTTTTCTCTCTCTCTATTCCCACCCCATTCTTGGAACCTTGGTGGGACAAACACAGCTTTGGACAAGCTCAGCACGCAGCACCTGTACCATCCCACGCAAGTGGAAATTGTGCAGTCCAACGTGGTGTTCGACATCAGCAGCCTTATGCTCTATGGGACCCAGGCAGTGCCTGTGCGGCTGAAGATCCTGCTGGACCGGCTCTTCAGTGTTCTGAAGCAAGAGGAAGTGCTGCACATACTGCACGGCCTGGGCTGGACGCTGCGGGACTACGTCCGAGGATACATCCTTCAGGTAGGGCAGGATTTGGACACCAGTGTCTGAGCCAGTTCTCACTGGGCTGAGGGAGCCTCGAACACCTGGTCTCCTGCCCTGGCACACCCAGGAACCCATGCCCCCCTCTGGTCAAGGACTGGGACAGGAGATGACACAGCAGGCCCCTGTGGGGTCTCGGCACTGTGTACCAGAAAGGGAAATGTGGCCTGTGTACCAGCCTAATTTGATTTATACATTTTGAATTGGACTCTTTCTTCCTATACGGTGGGCTTGTTTCCCGTATAAGTGAATGATTAGCGTAGCCCTGTTAAGGAGGGCTCTTTGAGGTGGCTCTTTGAGGTGGCTGTGTGAAAGGTGGAGAGTACCCTCCATCTGTGTGCTGTTTCTCACACCAGTTAAGAGACATGGTGCTCTCCTTTGTTGTCTGTGAGTCCTCACTACTTACTGTATATTTATCCATATCAAAGGAAGAACTGTAAGCTATATAAACTCCCTGCTTGTATAACAAAATATCACCTTGTATCCTTCAGAGGTTCCATTCTGAACCGGCAGATGTGGCTTTATAGGTTTGGTCTTCACAGTACCTGCTCTTCCAGCCTGAAGCCCCTCCTCCATATCAGCGATGCTTCAGCTCCTCACAGCCTCCAGGCTTCTCAGGGGCCACAGCCTCACCCTACCCACCCCACCCTCCCTGTCCTTTTCTTCAGTATGTCACTGGTAGTACTGAGTGCCTGCTTTGCCTCCCGAATGTTCTTCTGGCTGTCTGTCTTCCACCCCTGAGGGGGGAATGTTGAGAAGTGTGTGTTGACCTGTGGAGACCCTAGGATCCATCTCTGCCCTAGATGATGAGATGACTATGTCCTGTGTTGAGGGAGATCTGAGTTGAGAAGGTAGAGTCTGAAGAGGTTTTTGAAATTTCCGATGGGAGGACCCCTCCAGAACAGGTTTTTGGCTGTGTCCACTCTGTGTAGTGCTGGAGATAATTCTTCAAGTTAATGACCTGAGCCACCCTGTGCTGAGAGCAGGACCTTGGCAGCTGGCTTGGTGTGCAGGGAGTGGCAGCCTCTTGTCCAGTCCTTGCCTTAACCTTGCATCAGAGGACGCAACTCCTTCCATTCTCCTGTGTGGTACTTACAGGGTTGGGGCAGGAGAGGACAGCAGTGGAGGCATGGTGAGTAGAGGCAGATAAAGTACAGGAAGTGGAATAACCTGTCTGTTCACAGAATAGAATCTTAGTTTAGTGAGAACCTCAATTTGGAAGGCGCAAAAAATTTGGCCCTCAGAAGATGAGATGATAGTGATGATAACAGTAATCACATGTGATGTTTTCGGTTTATAGAGCGTGTTCCCAGCATTATCTCATTTGCCTCAGGATGGGGAGATTTCTGGTAGGTTAAGTGGGCAGATAGGTCCTGGGGGTGGTCAGGGGACCGAAGGGGCAAAAGGTCCAGGAGGAGGAGGCCATGGAAAATAAAGCATGGGACTAGTTTCACGATCCCTGCTGATTTTGGCCCTGATATCTACACAGTCCCACGTCATCCCATACTTGTTTCCCAAATGGTTAATTGTTTGGGATTGATTTTTTTTTTTTTTTTTTTTTTTTTTTTAGCATGTGCGAAGGAAGAAACCCCACACAGCTGTCTGAATTGGAGCTGTTAGCTTGGCTAATGGTCCCATTCAAAACCTACAAGTATTTTGCTTCAATTGAGTACCACATTTTTACTATAATATTGTTTTCCACTATAATATTGTTTTGTTCCATCAGTGTGACGTTTCAGTTCCACAAGTATTTTCTGCCTAAGATAACAGGAGCATATGCATTTTGTATTTCTGTCCAAACAGATAACTGCATGGCTATGCTGATTTGCCATGAGAGCAACCCTGCCGCAGCTTACTGTAGTATTTTGATGGCCGAAAACATGTAACTTGTTGATTGTTGTGTCATGATACTACTGTTCTGCTTTGACTAGAGCCTTTTTTCTTGCTTTAAAAAATTATTTAAGTATTAATTTTTCTCACATTTCATTGTATGTCTAAGGCAAATACAGAAAATCTCTCCTTTAAAATGTACTCTATTTCTTTTTTAGTGTGAAATCCCACAAGGTAAAGATAAAAAGCTGCAAGAGAAATTAAGTATGAAAGAAAAATTCAGCAAAACCCACAGACTAACGTGTATAAACTATCTTACTTGAGGTGAAATATTTTATATAAGAAACATTATCCTTCAGGGTGATACTTATAATTAATTTCAGTAATATAAATTTTGAAAAATATAAAATTTTATATACTGTTTCTCCATTCAGAGTCTAGAATTGACATTTTCAGGAAACTATAGAATTTTTTTTTTCACATTAGAACTCTAGGTTTAGTGTATGTCTTGTTTTATTGATCGAATTGGTGGACAGTAGATTTTACTTAAATGATGATTTTTATCATTCACCATTTAAAATATACCTGTTCCTTATGAAAATAGTTGTTATGTTTGACAAAAAGTGAAAGATCGTAGGACTCAAAACTGTTTTCAATTATTTAGTGAAAAACTCATTTTGTAAAAGAACAAAAGAGCTAGAATATAAAAATAAACCCCTTCTAAATCTATGTTACCTGATTATTGGCCAACATTTAAAAAATTATATGTACTAATGATAAAGCATGCACACATGTCTTTGAATACAATTATATATAGCGGCTTTGTACAGGTACACTATAAAATGTGCGTCTAAAAGCAGTGGAACTCTATAATGCACTATTAGTGTACAAGTCATTTTATCTGGCTAAAACTCAATTGTCTTGTAGCCCTGAAGGCATCAATTTTAGCATTATTGCTCTCAACAACAGTATATTGAATATTATGTCAGTTAAAGGAGAATAATTATCAAGGCAAGTTAGGGTGGTTGTTAGTCTTACCACATATTGACTTGGTTAGCAGGTGGCTATAGATTGTGTTACTGGGCAAATGAAGATGTACTGTAAGTTGAACTGGTCAAGCCAGGATATTAATTTAACTCTCTCTGGGCCCAAACCTATATCCTTTATGTACACCCAGCCACTCTGCCTTCAGAAATAATTTCAAATGTGGAAGAAGAGTAGCAGGTATGTGATTTGATTTTGAATTGGGGGATGTGGGCAAAAAAGAAGCAGAGCCTTTAAAACTATCATCTAGAGACTTTCCTGTAGGAAGGGGTTCTTTAGAAAAAGAGGAAGATGGCAGTGATGCCACAGATTCATTTAAAAGACTGGCATATCAGCCAAGGACCCTGTAGGGGTTTTTTTCATAAAAACTGCTTTTCACTTATGTGATTATCTACATAATTTATAAGTTAGCCAATTGAGTGTAAAATGCATACAATTGACTACAGTTATTTAGGTAATATCTTACAGGTTAAAAAGTCCAGTTTTCATCTCTGTGTGTATTAAAGTATTCACTCAGAAGATACAAAAAAATAAGGTAAATTTTAAATATGGGGGGAAATGGGAATATGCAATTTGATGCTACAATAAGGAAGCATATGTTTTTCTGCTACTAAAGAATAATTTTTTTCAGATCTGTGTCTCATGGGTACATTTATTGGCAACCAGTAAAAGTGGTCCTCCACCCTTTTGTCTGTTCCTCATTTTAGCCCTCCCCCTTAGAGTACAAAAAATGATTTTTGGTTTTGAATACAGTATAGTATTTTAAAAATCGGGTTTTTCATAATCTCTTTTAGTTTGAACATGTAACTGACTTGCTGGGGCTTACACACCATCATGTCTGTGGGAATCACCCCATTTGCAGGTGTGTCTGGACAGAGCTCAGAGAACCACTTCAGACATTCTAAACAATTAGCTAGGTATCTGGAGCCTGGTCAGAGAGAAACAGTGACACACGTCTCAGTCCCTTGTGCCTTAGCAAAGTAATCATTGCTCTGGATGAACATTTCTCAGACTGTTGGGGGCATTTGTCTTTGAGAAGCCCAAATTTAGATTTGGGAGGAACTAGGTGTTTGAGCCTTAGCTTAGGGCTTTATGATACACATTAGCATAATCCCAGCTCTGAGTTTTGGGGGAAGTGGCCTGTGAGAGAAGATAAATAGCTTTCCACAACCTTTCCTGCTTTATAACCTTTTACCTTTAAGCACATCAGAAGTATTCAGTTCCCACACAAACTCAGGTCTTCCTCAGCATTAAGGTATTTGTGAGTAAGGTTTCTTCTGCCTGGAATGCCCTGCTCTGCTGTCTGGATGAGTATTTCTTGTCTTTCTGGTATCAGCCAAAGTCCTGCCTCCTTTCCGGAGAACCAGATGAACCATTGGAGGTCTATTCTGGTGTGACTGTCTTAGGACTCTTCCTTCAAGTTTCTATCACAATTTAAAATCAGTTAAGTCAGTTGTTAAAATGCTTTCCCTGGCTTCCTTACTGGTGAATAACACAAATGCAGGGCACTGAATAAATATTGGTTAAAAGAATGAGGAAAGAAACTTTCTCAACTTGGTATAGCTTGATGTTCCACCATGGATCTCATGGAATACCCAGCAGTTTCAGTTGGTCTAGAGGGCCCTTGGAGTTTTTTCAGGCTTCCTAGGGACTGATTGGGGTTGCTACACCTGAGAAGTTGAGGAAAGTAAGAAGCAAAGACTCCCATGCTTCCAAGCTAGTGGTCTGTGTAGAATAAGTGTTTTGTGGTATCCATGTGGCAAAAAACGTCAATATCAGGCAAACACTTGTATTTAGATGACCTGTGGCGTAAGTTTACGTAAGTTTGCTTTTTGAATCCCCTTATATCATTCTCTTGTAGTTATTGCCAATGAATTAACATTTAGTGGAGTTGAGGCTCACAGAGGTTAAGCTGACTTTCTCCCATGATCACAGAAACAGCTCCATGGCATGGTGCAGACACTGTAAGCTCACTGAAACTAAGGACCATATGTCTTTTGTTCACCCAAGGATACCTGCCAGTACTGGCCTGGTACTGGTATAGAACTTGTAAAATATTAGATGAAGAAAGTTTTGAAGCCTGACTTACTCCAAGGGCAGTGTGT